GTTGTACTTGGACAGGGAACATTCTTCTAAAATTTCAGCCTTCCAGCTTTTCTGTTTGTCGAGTTAGCAATTTTTCTGCTAAAACTTTCATACGCCCCTATGTGAACATGACGCATACCGGACGGGCGGAGGGGGAGGGGGTGGGGGGAGAAAAGGGGAGGGGGTGAATTTGAAATCTTTAACTAGCACATGCACATTGAATATCCCTGCAAAGTTTCAACCCCCTACCTTGCATGGTTCCCGAGATCGCTTTCCCGCCAAAAAATTGCATATTTTTTTAAAGTGTCCGTACGCGGCATCTAGGCGTCCGTGAGGGATGAAATTAAAACGGGAAGGTCGCACATGGTATGGCCACATACTCTCAAAGTTTCAGCCTTCTATCTTTTCTCGTTCCCGAATTATTAATTTCCCCGCCAAAACCTTCACTTTCCCTTACGCGGGGTCAAGACGTGCGTGAGGATTGGTACCGTGGTTCAGGGGTGGCACTTAGCCAGGGTATCCATTAGCAAAATCTTGGCGCTGGAAACTGATTGATTGCCGAGTTGAAATACCCGGATAGACGAACACACACAGACAGGGTCGTTGCAATATGCGCTTTTGCATCTTGTATTTAGGCAAAAACGCATAGAAACGGTTGAGCGTCATATAGGGTGGGAACATGTTCCCAAAATTTCAGCCTCCCAGTTTTTCTCGTTGCTGAATTGAAAGTGGGTCACTCTCTTTCGAACACACACACACGGACGACCTCTCGATAATAAACGTTTTTGCTCACTGTAGCACTGCAGAGCAAAAAATATATTAGAAATGGGGAAAAGCAGATTAAAAATTCAAACTTTGAAGAGGAATTACCTTTTCGTCTTCCTCCTTACTTTCTGCTTCGTTTCCAGATTCTCCTTCTTCCTCTTCTTCTTCCTCACCCCTTTCGTCTTCCTCTCCTTCTTCCTCCTGTTCCTTGCCGCTCGTTTTCTGTTTTTCTGCCTTACCCTCCTCCTTTTTTCGTCCCCCCTTCTCCACTTTTTCCTCTTCTTTCCTTTCCCGTTCTCTTTCTTTCTCTTTCTTACGATTCTTATCTAAATCATAATTACGGTACTGACATTTATTGTTTCAAAAAGTACTAACTGCATAGGTATAAGTAAAAGTGTAACCTGCTGTCTTTTGTTTTTTCCTGGATTGCTGCTCCTCCTCTGCCTCCTCTTCCACCTCCTCCTCTTCCTCTTCTTCGCCTTCCTCCTCATAGTCCGCTTCGGTTTTTGGGGGCGGCTTTCTGAAACAACTTCATTAGTGCGTTTTTTGTTTTCAGGTAAAAGAATCTCCTAAAAAATGAATCATTACAAAAGTGGCATTTTTGCGTGAGAACGTGCATGATAAAAAGTGAAACTATAAACAAATTTCTGAATAATAACATTACTTGACTGTTTTCCTGTACTTCCACTCTTTGCCCCTTCTTCTTGGAGAAACAGATTCCTGGTTTGCTCGAGCTCGTGCTATTGCACGCTTGTCGTTGGTCTAAAGAGACCAGTAATCATTAATAGCTAAAAACTTTGTAAAAACATTCTCAAAGCCAACCAGGATGTTTTGGTGAATTGTTAAATGGATCGCAGATTTACGATACCGTAGTGGGGTTTCGTATTTGTATTTTTTCTAGTAAACAATTCAAACTATACC